AAAACTCAAGCAGTTCTTTTTGAGTGTAGAGCACCTCCTCATGGGTCACACTCTCAACCTTACCTCTACGGATCCACCAGGACTTTAGTCTAGTTATAGGTCTAGACACAAACATGGGTGTTGAGAGTGGCTCCTGAGAAGAATCTATTATCTTGCCTGGCAAATGCCTCAGGGGAGGCCATCACCGTTGCCTCAGGCAGCACAGGGTTTATCTCCTAAGACAAGTGGAAAGGCCGATAGCGGCATGGGTCAAGTAGGCGATGTTGCCACTACTGGGGATGGGGAAGCTATTTCTTCTGGCAAGAAGGTTTCATCAGAGTTTACAAACTCAGTCTCCCCAGCTTCATCAGGGTCCTCCCACACGTTCTCATTCTAAGTTGCAGGGTCCCACTGTATTCCAATCAATGCCCTCACTTTAACAGTAGACACCTGGTGAGGATGGGCATGCACCTTTCATTGCAGGTTAGCCACTTGCATGATAAGAGCTTGTGTCTGTTTTTGCACAATTTCAACTCTTTCTCTACAGGAGATAAGACTCTCACTCAGGGCAATCTTACCAGATTTAAGCCTTAGTATCTGCTTCTGAAGTCAGGAGATAGAATCCCTGAGTTCATCATTTTATTTCATCAGTTTGTCCACTGAACTTAGGAGCAACCAACCAGATTCATTATGTTCCTTGGTTCTCCACACGTGGCCAAAACTCTCCCAAAGTGCTGGGATTACAGGTGTGAGCCACCATACCCAGCCTGTAGGTGCTTATTTATTACAGTTACATTGACAGATTGCTTATCTACTGAGGAGCATTTTGTTTTTCAAAACATCACCAAACTATATGATTTACAAAAAAAACAAAAAAAGTCTCATCTGAGAACTATGAACTGTGAAAGAAATCAAAACCATTTTTTTTTCTTTTAAAAAGCCACGTAATGAAACCCCAACAATGTACTTCACATCGAAGTGGGAAAATATCCAAAAGGAACAGCTTCGACTTCCATGAGGTGAAAGGGCACCATGAAGATTGTTTGCCCTTGCTGCATTTGGGAGTTACATGGTTATTTAGTAACATTGTTTAAGAACTACTGGATTTAATGCAATCCTGCATAAAAACATAATTTATTCTATGTGAAAAAATAAGACAGGGCTTATTACTAGAACCACCAAAACCAAACATCATGAACTTTTTTTTTCTTTCTTTTTTTTTTTGGAGACAGAGTCTCGCTCTGTAATCCAGGCTGGAGTGCAGTGGCACAATCTCGGCTCACTGCAACTTCCACCTCCCGGGTTCAAGCAATTCTTCTACCTCAGCCTCTCAAGCAGCTGTGAATACAGGTGTGTGCCACCCCACCTGACTAATTTTTGTATTTTTACTAGAGACAGGTGTCACTATATTGGCCAGGCAGGTCTTGAACTCCTCACCTCGTGATTCACCTGCCTTGGCCTCCCAAAGTGCTGGGATTAGATACATGAGCCACCGTGCCCAGCCAAACATTTTTAGGATTGTGTTTAATTTTTTTTAAATTATGTATTTAACTATTTTTTAAAATAAAACACAGTCTTAAAATGTTTGGCTGGGCACAGTGGCTTGCGCCTGTAATCCCAGCACTTTGGGAGGCCGAGGCAAGCGGATCACAAAGTCAGGAGATCAAGACCATCCTGGCTAACACAGTGAAACCCTCTCTCTACTAAAACTACAAAAAAAAATTAGCCGGGCATGATGGCGGGTGCCTGTAGTCCCAGCCACTCAGGAGGCTGAGGCGGGAGAATGGCGTGACCCTGGGAGGCTGAGCTTGCAGTGAGTTGAGATCGCCCCACTGCACTCCAGCCTGAGTGACAGAGTGAGATTCCATCTCAAAAAATAATAAGAAAATAAAAAAAAGTGTGCAGCTATTTTCTTATGTTGAAAAGACTGAAAGTCTAAAGCAACAGAAATCAGTATTAAAATTTTTTTGTTCACACTGAAAAAATAAAAATATAAATTTATATATAAGCATTTAAAAATGTAATACAAAAAATTAATGAGATTTTATTAAATAAATACATTCCATCAAAAAGTACCATACATGTAAGCACCTATTTATAGAATCATAGTGTTTTTCACTGCAACCTAAGGATGGTGCTTAGTTTGAAGATATAATATTTATATTTATTGATGTGAGATACCATATAAAGATTCACATTTAAAGAATGCATTTGAAAATAAGCTGTAACTAAGTACGTGCTTGCTTATGCAGCCATGTTTATTTTGTATTGTTTCACCTGTTCATTTTGCTGAGGAGGTGAAATCAAATTTTATGGAGAAGTTTTAATCAAATTGGCCATTCAATCATCCAGACTTTTCGCTTAGGCAAAAAATAACCAAGAGGACTTTTCAAATATTCAACAATATTTAGTATCCACAGCATGAATTTCAACATCCTTTACATTTTGTTTCTCAGAAAATATAGTCTTTATTGTCCCAGAGTTCCTCTTCTTATAAAACATGTAAGCAATATCTTTTTAAAGAATTAGCCATCAATCATATATTATAGAATAAAAATAAGAAATTAACCTTTCCTGAACAAAAATAAAATTGATTATAAAACATAGAAAGATGATGATACTGAATTCATTTATTTGTCATATGGGTGGATATGTATATATTTTGTTATATCTGTAAATATCTTATTAAATATCCTATTTTTTGTTTCTACATTCAAGCCTTCCTTATTGTTTTTAATAGAGCATTAGCTCCTCTGAACTTCAGTAAAACATGTGACAAAGTTAGAACCTGCAGAGAAATATGACACAGGTGTGAAGAAAATTCCTTTGTATTAATTCATGAATTAATATGAGTCTCTGATGTTGCAGGCACCTCTAGATTTTTTCCTCCTTATTTCTTTTGATTGGTACCATTTGACATTACTGTACTTCAGTATGTTAGTCTTTTATGTGACATCGGAATTTATCATAGCTTTGGACATGTTGGATACTGATACTTTCTTCTTTTATGGAAATAGATGATCAAACACAGAATTCTTATAAATTATTTCTAAAAGCAGAAAGGAATAGTAAAATAAATATTGAAGGACAAGTAGATTCAAAGATTGAATTCATTTGTTATTTCTAAAAACAAAGCATTAAATATTCATGTTGCATTTGTTCATGACAGTTCAAGTTCTTGAGTGGAATGCAGAGATCATTTATTTCAGTGCTGACTTAATGCAGGATTAGTTTATTTTACTAATATGTTATTGTTAGAATTAAACCCAGGATTCAGGCTTTCCAAGTTTGATTTGACCTTTTACTTTTCATTTCTATGTGTGGCCCTTTGGTCTCAGGCTTTGGTAGATTAAAGTTGACCACAGATTCTTTCCCATCACCGTTCCCATCAAGAGGCAGGGGCTATTTCTGATGTTCGCCTGTTACAGCTTTGACCAATTGTGTGTGGAAGAAGTGCCACCATGACAGTTCCAGGTCTGGGCTGTAAGAAGACTGATCCTTTCTACCTTTGAGTTTCAGGGCCCTGAGAATCTTGTAAATGTTGGCCCCTTTTGTCCCTCTTGCAAGGCCCTGGGACTACCTAAAGGGACTCAGCAAAATCCAGGCTTCCAGATGCCTCTGTTAAGGCATCAGCATGCACCTGTGAGGTGATACTACCCAGAATGGAAGAATCACCCAGGGGAGATCTGTCTGAATTCCTGACACACATTGAGGTGAAATGAAATGGTGGTCATTTGTAACCTCTTGTTTTGAGGTAGTTAGGCAGAACAAAATGGCCAAGGGAATGGTTAGTGTCACCAAGGTGGCCAACAATATTAACGGTATTAATTAGCTTTTGAACAACAATAAAGCTAAAATTTAAATTCTGAGTTTCTAGTTCTATATACAGTTGGTCCTCTGTATCTGCAGGTTGTACCTCTGTGGATTCAACCAACTGTGGATCAAAAATATTTTTTAAAATTGTGTCTGACAGATTTTTTTCCTATTATTTTCTAAACAATACACTGGAACAACTGTGAATTTACATGGCATTAACATTGCATTAGGCATTATAAGTAACCTAGAAGTGATTTAAAGTAACAGGAGAATGTGCATAGGTTATATGTAAATACAATGCTATTTGATATCAGGGACTTGAGCAACTGCAAATGTTGGTATCTTAGGAGGGTCCTGGAACCAGTCCCTCATGGATACCAATGGACAACTGTATATACCTTCAAAATGTTCTAATGACCCTGAAACCAACCCAATGAAAATTTAAGCACATTGATTAAAAACATAACTTATTCTAAATCAGTGACTTCTGTACTAACCATTTATGTTATTGGCTTAATTTTCAACCTTCACCCGTAGTGTAGGTCAGAGCAATGTATATTTAATAACCTGTGCACTTATGAACTAAGGTATTTTAAATGGCATTTTGAGTAAAGGAACCTAAATTAAGAAGATAATATGTTACTTTTGAATGTGGTGGTTCACATCATAAGACAAGATGTAGTGGCAGCAGGTGAAGAGTGTGTTTCATAGCCCTGGCCTCCTAGGTCACTCAGTTGCCTTTTATTACTTCATCTCTTTTTTTTTTTTTTTTTGAGACGGAGTCTTGCTCTGTCACCCAGGCTAGAGTGCCTTGGCGCTTTCTCAGCTTACTGCAAGCTCCATCTCTGGGGTTCATGCCATTCTCCCACCTCAGGCTCCTGAGTAACTGGGACTACAGGTGCCCACCACCACACTCAGCTAATTTTGTTTTTGTATTTTTAGTAGAGACGGGGTTTCACTATGTTAGCCAGGATGGTCTCAATCTCCTGACTTTGTGATCTGCCCGCCTCGGCCTCCCAAAGTGCTGGGATTACAGGCATGAGCCACTGTGCTCGGCCTACTTCCTCATCTCTTTATTGTCTTGGAGCCTTCTGCCTGGACCCCTCATTCTTCTCCGTGGCAAACCCTTCTCATGCACCTTCATGACTTGCTTAAGGTTACTCACTCAGTGTCATTTCCCTCTTGACCGTTCAATAACAAGATGCTTAATTACTTCCTTCTTTATAACTCCACAGACCCAGGGGCAAGGAAAATGAATCTCTGGATGTGCATCTTCATGTAGAGTCAGCCCACTGTAGGCCTGGTGACCAGTGACTGTGCTTCATACAGTTCAATGCAGAGGTTGCAGAGGTGCAGCCTTCTTCAAAATCTTGTGGTTTTATTGTCACAACACACGACCTTTTAGGGGGCAGGGAAAGAGGAGGTTTCTCACTGACTCAGCCTATGTGTCAGGGGGCAGGAAGGGCTGGTTCCTATGTGTGCAGGAGGGAAAGGGTAACCAGGCATAAGGAGGCAATGGCCCAAACACCATTCTTAACCTGTAAGTCATAAGACAAAGGCAGGAAGCAGAGAAGAAGTGAGCAATTCAGTTTCTTTATAGACACTACTCCTCTATTCATCTGTATAAAGCATTATTATCTGAGATAAAGCTATTTTGATAGATAAAATCATGTTCACAATGCAGAAAGCAGTGAGCATCTGAGACTCATAGAATTCTAGACACTGAGAAATTGTATTATTCAAACTCTTAATATGGTGTACCTGAGGCAATACAGACCTGGATAACATCCTCTGTGTAACCAAGGACACGTCCAGTGAGTGCCTGAGACAGGAGGACATCTCTTTGTCTAAGCTCTCCTGGCAACGTTCTTTCAACCACATCATAGATGAAAAAGAAACTGTAGAGGGAAGAGAAATTTGAAATTGAAGATATTTTCCCATCTTCCAATGGTTTCTAGTTTCTTCCTACTTTCTTTCTGACCCGAAATTTTTTCATTGAAAAGCACATCACGTTTAGGCCTTTGAATTTGGAAACACACACATATACCCCAGGCACGAACTTTGGATTTACAAATGTTGGGACACATTAACTACGTATTTAAAGGGATTTTGTTGTTGTTGATTTGCTAAGAATAATGTGGGATTTGTTCTGGCTTGCCAAGTATTTCATATAAATAGTTTGCTTAATGAAAAGAGGCCTGAGAAAAGGAGATTATGATTAAAATTCTTCAAATTGTAGCCCAGAGGGACAAATACTATTATGGGCTAGGTGATTTGAAGAAATAATTTGTTTTAAAAATCCACTCTGCTAATTAAGTTTCCAATGCATGCACAAAGACTTGGCTTAATTAATAATTCCATGTACATATATGCAATAGAATGAACAGTTTCCTTAGCACCTGAACTATGAGTCATTTTTGCCCAAAGCAAGTGAGGATGGTGAGCTACTGCACAGGATCATGGAGACTTGATTGGGGGTGGGGCGTGAAGAGTCTGGCATTATATTAAAAGGACATTTTATCTACTGAAGTAGCTATCTGTCAGCGAATGCTATTTAAGCACATTCTTTTAAATAGGAAAAACAATTCCTGAGTTTTGTGTTGCTCAATTTATTGAATTAAGATTATTAAAAGTGGATATTAAATATAATATTTATCTCAAAGTCACTCCTGTGTACTATGCCAGATACTTAGGCAGCATTTAAATTCTTTGAGTCCACTAGAATTACATTTGCCCTCTTATTATTTCAACAAAAGAAGCTATTTTCATTTGTGAATATATAATTCAGTTATAAATATTTAAGGCATATGTTTATCATCTTCCATTTTCTTTTTTTCTTTCTTTCTTATTTTTTTTTTTGAGACGGAGTCTCCCTCTGTCGCTCAGGCTGGAGTGCAGTGGCGCGATCTCGACTCATTGCAAGCTCCGCCTCCCAGGCTCAGGCCATTCTCCCACCTCAGGCTCCCAGGTAGCTGGGACTACAGATGCCCGCCACCGACGCCCGGCTAATTTTTTGTATTTTTCGTAGAGACAGGGTTTCACCGTGTTAGCCAGGATGGTCTCAATCTCCTGACCTAGTGATTCGCCCACCTCGGCCTCCCAAAGTGCTGGGATTACAGGCCTGAGCCACCGCGCCTGGCCCCAGTGTGCACTTTCATCTTCTCAAAAGCCATGTGTATAAAGTGACTTCAACAGTTCCAGGTTGTCCTTCTTCCAAAGACACATTTAAACAACATATTGCTGCTAATTTTAGGATTTTGCAGTGGGCACATAACTATGAACAAGCATGATGTTTTGCAAATCATTAGGTATCAAGGTACAGTGGATTTTGCAGCACAGAGAGAGCTTCAAGTAATAAACTTCACAATCCTAATATTTCCAGAATTTGATGTCATTTACTAAACGAAGCATATAAAAACATTTCTATAAACATAGCAAAATGAAGCCCCAATAATGAGGGCGTAGAGCAGGAAGAGCACGTTGAAATATGACTTTTGCATTTGTATGTATGACTGAAATAAGAGGTGGCAAGATGCTTATTCTCAACTTTACCAACTACACACATTGTTCTGTGAGGCAGTCTTGCTAGTCAGGATTTTCTTAAGGAATCTGAGGAGATCAACCGCAATTTTAATGAAAGAGGGCGCTAAACCAAGCACTGTCAACATATTATCATTATGAAAGGATCCAATAAGATTGCTGATATTAAAAATTGACTCTCTATATTTTCATATTTTAAATGTGGTGTTAAACTAAATACTAAATAGGATAAAACCAATAGCCAAGGAGATTATGACAAAAGACTTTCTCAATCCACATGAACTTCTCGTTTTGATTACATCTTTTACTCAGTACTATGTTTAAGGAATTTGGCTGTAACAAAATAAGTGTCTGTTTTGAAATCTGATGATGAATTTCTCCTGTGGATGCATTGGTTTGTAGAGGTCAAAACTGAATGATCACACTATGGCAAAGATTTCTCTAACACTCTACTCAATGGTTTACAACAGCAGCCCCCAATCTTTTTGGCATCAGGGACTGATTTTATGGAAGACAATTTCTCCATCCAGGAGTTGGAGGGTGTGATTTCAGGATGATTCAAGAACATTACATTTATTGTGCACTTTATTTCTATTATTATTACATTGTAATAATATATAATTAAATAATTATACAACTCATCGTATTTTAGAATTAGTGGGAGTCCTGAGCTTGTTTTCCAGTAACTAGATGGTCCCATCTGAGGGTGATGGGAGACAGTGACAGATCATCAGGCATTAGATTCTAAGGAGCATGCAACCTAGATCCTAGATCCCTCACACACACAGTTCACAATAAGATTGGTGCTTTTATGATAATTCAACGCCACTGCTGATCTGACAGGAGGTGGAGCTTAGACAGTAATATGAGTGATGGGAAGTGGCTGTAAATAACAGATGAAGCGTTGCTCCATGGCCTGCTGCTCACCTCCTGCTGTGCCACCTGGTTCCTAACAAACCACAGACTGGTACCGGTCCCTGGCCTTTACAACAAATAATATTCTTAACAGCAGACATATGGATGTTCACTGTATTCCAGGAACTTTTTATAGTGTTTTACTTGAACTCACTTAATTCTCATCACAAGTCCATATAGAAGGCATGATTATTATTCCCATTTTACAGATGAGGGAATTGATGCACAAAGAGATTAAAGAGGCTGCCCGTGGCCACATAGGCAGAAAGTAGCAGAACAACTATATGTACCAGGTAGCTGGGTCCCAGAACTCGATATATTCTAGTGTCTCCCTGGAGATCTCTACAAATTAGTCAACCAATAGGTGACAAGTTTCTAATACTGACTGTAATAATCACTTAGGCAAGACACCCAGTTATCATAATTATCTGTCCTCTTATAATATTTCTTTTCCATTTCTCATGCTTCTTTTCTGCCATGCTGAAGACCCCAATCAATTTTTCGTATGGCTGTCTCTGTGCCAAGAACATCCTTTCTCAATAATCTCCTGGGAAGTTTTCATGGTGCATAATTTACTACATAATTAAAAGAAAATGGTGTGCTTTGACACCTACTTGTAAAGTGCCTCAATTTGGAAATGAAAACACAGCTTTTTAGGCTCAAATATAAAGACTTTATTTTCTAAACTGAATAGGTTCACAGTTTATTTTTACATTAAGGAATATTATAGATTATAAAAATATAATAAATGTAGCTCTATATTTACATATATTTATATTTTTATTTTCCTATTTTAAAACATTTTCCTTTATATTTAGATATAAAAACATGACCATGAATTAACTTATTAACACTTCTATTCATATTGTTGCATGTCAATACAGCAACAATTGTTTTTCTGTGTAGCAATGGTGTACATTTGCTGAAACAAAAATTAAGACTCCCATCTTGACTAATGGCAAAAAGAAAAAAGGAAGAAATTCATAAGCTAAAGATGAATTTAACCAGTTTAACCCATTCATCAGTTCTTAGTGTGTTCTATGTTAACACATTTTGAGAAGTGGCAAGCTTCTCTCTGAAATCTATATAGTTACGTGTGTGTGTGTATATATATACACACACATATATATGTTTATTATTCCCAATGGTAGTGGAGGCTGGGATGTTGTAGTGAATGCAAGCATCAGAAAGTATATTTCATTAAAAATACCTTTCTTGAAAGGCCACTATTTATTGGGATTAACAAACTCTTTTTTGAAGATTGCAGAATCCCATAGGATTAACTTGCCTTTAATCACTGATATGGTCTGGCTCTCATCTTGAATTATAATCTGAATTGTAATCCCCATTAATTGGGGAAATGACCTCATGGGAGGTGATAGGATCATGGGGGCAATTTCCCCATGCTGTTCTTGTGATAGAGAGTGAATACTCACAAGATCTGATGGTTTTATAAGAGACTTTCCCCCCTTCACTCTGCACTTCTCTCTCCTGCTGGCTTGTGAAGAAGGACATGTTTGCTTCCCCTTCTACCATGGTTGTAAGTTTCCTGGGGCCTCCCCAGCCCTATGGAACTGTGAGCCAATTAAACCTCTTTTCTTTATAAATTACCCAGTCTCAGGTATGTCTTTATAGCAGTGTGAAAATAAACGAATACAATCACATCTCAGTATTTTATGAGGCTGACAAATTCATTGAATCCAAATTTGGATTCACTGGGAAAAGTAGAAGAAAGGAGAGGGGGAGAAGAAGGACAAAATGCAAAGACTAGGGGATAAGCACTAACAAAAGCCTGACAGAACCTGATCTCTCCCTTTTAATCTTAGGAATTCTAGAAAAGAATTTTACAATGGACTTAAATCCATGCTCCTTTCTGATATGCATAACAATCTCAAATACACAGGATTTTGTGAAATTTTCCCCTGCATGCAAAGGGAGGGAAGGGGAGAGAAGGCATACTCCTCTGCAGTCTAATTCTCACTAGCCCTTTAGACTTTGCATAACTTTGCATTTTAGACACTGTTTTATAAAAATAATAATTTGAAGAGAATTTATAAATGTGTAAACTGGAGGTGACAGTTTTTCTAATTAAAATAAACTAAAAAATAGTAAAGAGAAATATAAACTGGCAGGATCAGGTGATGACGACAGGCACTGGGAAACATCTGGAAAATGTATGGGGGGTAATCACAGGCCCACTCTTTCTGGGGACTGAGCTTGACTCCTGCTACTCACATTTACAGCCTTGAAGCAATACAAGTTCAACATCTGCTTATGCATTCCAAAATGGTGCATGCAGCTAAGAACAGTGATTGTGACATTGATTACTTTAGAAACTGCACGGTACATTCCTGCAAATACTTTTTTTTTTTTTTTTTGAGATGGAGTTTCACTCTTGTTGACTAGGCTGGAGTGCAATAGCATGATCTCAACTCACTGCAGTCTCTGCCTCCTGGGTTCAAGCGATTCTCCTCCTCAGCCTACTGAGTAGCTGGGATTACAGGCATGTGCTATCATGCCCAGTTAATTTGTGTGTGTGTGTGTGTTTTTACTACAGACAGGGTTTCTGCACGTTGGTCAGGCTGGTCTCGAACTCCCAAACTCAGGTGATCTGCCCCCTTGGCCTCCCTAAGTGCTGGGATTATAGGTGTGAAGCACCGTGCCCGGACCATTCCTGCAAATACTTACATATTCTCCATGCCCAAATGGAACTACTGTTGGAGGAAGTCCTACATGGCAACCTCCAACTCCATTTGAAAATTTCCATTAATTGTTAGGCCCCAAGTACCAATCTGATTACATGTAGAACCCCATCTACTGAAAGATGAAATAAAACGAATATCACTGTCAAAAACTGTCCTTATCTTAATGCTTTAGTGGTTATTAAAAAAAACTCTAGATAGATAACAACTGAATTTAGTCTTTAGGAGTTTAGTAAGATACATACACTGTTCAACTTAGTGATCTATCTGCTATTTTTATAAAGCATTCAGTGACTAAATGTGATTGGTTTAAGTAAAAAAAAAAAAAACACTTAGGGCAGAGAGATAAAGCCATTACAGTGAAACTGCCTATTGTTCCTTCTAGCTGTTAAAGTGTGATCAGTAACTGACTCATAGGTAAAATGTTTGAGAGATTTCATTTTGCTCATCTGGCCTTGCCTGATATCAGAGGTGCTCACTGATTGTTTTTAGATCGGGCAAGAGTTAGCTAGCCAAACCTCTCTACTGAATACTCATGCTGGAAATTTTAATTCTGTATTCCTATGACTTGGAAAGGAAACAACTGCTCTAGGAGTTGTTATTGTAGAAAACAAATTCAGTCTAAAATGACTGAATACTCATTTTTATTCTTGACTAAGTCTTGGAAGGTAGTGATTCCTTAGGATTTTTTTCCTTCAAACATTTAATTTTAGTTTGAATTTGGCCCCAATTCTGAATAACAAATATGTAGCTTTAAACTGAGTTACTTAATTTCAAGTAACAATCATCTTCATGCTATTTTATTTTCTCATACAACCTGTTGAAATTCTATATCTTTACTTAATGGGTTAGTATAATTTAACTAATTTAACTAATCCGTGTTAACAAATTAATCCCAACATCTCATTGACTTAATAAACAATATATCTTATCCATTCACCCCTAAACATGTTGCAGGTCCGAGGATTCTCCAGGGAAGCTCTCTGCTGAGTACTGACTCAAGAATTGAGTCTGTTTCCATCTTCAGGCTTCACATTATCAGCATAATCACTCAGGCAGAAGATGAAAGAGAGAAAGAAAACTCATGCTTCAACTTTGAAAGAGAGCTCATCCCTCTGTCTAATTGGCCAGAATTAATCACATGGTCCCAAAATAACTGGAAGGGAGGATGGGAAAGAAAGCCTTTCTATCTGACCAGGACAATGAAATGAGATTTAAACAATCAACAAAAATCCTCAACAAAAACCTAGTTTGTCAAACCCAGCAACATGAGAAAAGATAGTACAGTATTCCAAGCAGCGCTTATTCAGGGAATGAAAGACTAGTTCAAAATTCAAAAATTAATATAATGCATCTTATCAACATAATGAAGAAGGAAAAACATGTGAGCCTCCACATAGATACAGAAAAAATATTTGAAAAAGTTTAGCATCTATCCATCATAAAAACTATTAAAAACCTGGAAATAGAAGAATACTTCTTCAAGAACAAAATCTACAAAAGAAATTATCGCTAACAACATACTTAATGGTGGAAGACTGAATTCTTTCTCCCTAAGATTAAGAAGACAAAGCTGTCCACTCTTCCTGCTCCCATTAACCACATATTGAAGGTCTTAGCCAATGCAATAAAAAACTGATGAAATGAATATAGAATAAATAAAATTAAAACTTAATTTTCAGATGACATAATTATGTAGAACATTTTTAAAAATCTATAAACAAGCTAAGAGAACTATCATATAAACTTACCAGGTCACATGAAAAAGGGTCAATATGCAAATCCAAATCTGGTAGCAATGAAAAATTGAAAATAAAAATCTTTAAATTACAAAAAAATGCTAGGAGGTATAAATCTAACAAAATATGTTCAAATTATATGTGCTGAAAACCATAAAAACCCCAATGAAAGAAATCAATACAGATTAAAAATCTAAAAAGGAGAGATATACCATGCTCACAGTTGGAAGAATTCAAACTCAAATTTGCTGAGATATCAATTGTCTCTAAATTGATTTATAGATTCAACACAGTTCCAATTAAAATCTCAGCAGGATTTGTTGTAGAAATCAACAAACTATGTGTAAAATTTATGTAGAAAGGCAAATAGTCAAAAAAAAATTATAACAAAGTTAGAGGATTTGTTCCACCAAATGGCAAGACTTATTACAAAAGTACATCAATCAAGACAGCATGGTATTAGGGTAAGAGTGGACATATAAATAAATGGAATATAATAGAGCAGGGATGAGCAAATCATAGCTCCTGGGGCCAATTTCAGCCTAGCAACACAGCTGCACTTATTCAATTATGCATTGTCTATGGCTGCTTTTGTGCTAAAGATAATTAAGTAATTACAACAAATATTATATGGTCCACAAAGCCTAAAATATTTATTTTCTGGTCTTTCACACACACACAAAAAGCTGCTGCCCTGGAATAGAATGTACAGAAAAACACTCACACATCTATGGTCAATTGACTTTTGACAAGGGTGAAAGACTATTAAATGGAGAAAGTACAATCTTTTCAACAAACAGTGCTAGAACAATTGAAAATTCATATGCAAAACAAGCAAATACTTTAACTGATGGATTGCATTTTGTGTGTGTGTGTGTGTGTTTTTAAATTTATTTATTATTATTATACTTTAAGTTCTAGGGTACATGTGCATAACGTGCAGGTTTGTTACATATGTATACTTGTGCCATGTTGGTGTGCTGCACCCATCAACTCGTCATTTACATCAGGTATAACTCCCAATGCAATCCCTCCCCCCGTCCCCCTCCCCATGATAGGCCCCGGTGTGTGATGTTCCCCTTCCTGAGTCCAAGTGATCTTATTGTTCAGTTCCCACCTATGAGTGAGAACATGCGGTGTTTGGTTTTCTGTTCTTGTGATAGTTTGCTAAGAATGATGGCTTCCAGCTGCATCCATGTCCCTACAAAGGACACAAACTCATCCTTTTTGATGGCTGCATAGTATTCCATGGTGTATATGTGCCACATTTTCTTAATCCAATCTGTCACTGATGGACATTTGGGTTGATTCCAAGTCTTTGCTGTTGTGAATAGTGCTGCAATAAACATACGTGTGCATGTGTCTTTAGAGCAGCATAATTTATAATCCTTTGGGTATATACCCAGTAATGGCATGGCTGGGTCATATGGTACATCTAGTTCTAGATCCTTGAGGAATCGCCATACTGTTTTCCATAATGGTTGAACTAGTTTACAATCCCACCAACAGTGTAAAAGTGTTCCTATTTCTCCACATCCTTTCCAGCACCTGTTGTTTCCTGACTTTTTAATGATTGCCACTCTAACTGGTATGAGATGGAATCTCATTGTGGTTTTGATTTGCATTTCTCTGATGGCCAGTGATGATGAGCATTTTTTTCATGTGTCTGTTGGCTGTATGAATGTCTTCTTTTGAGAAATGTCTGTTCATATTCTTTGCCCACTTTTGGATGGGGCTGTTGGTTTTTTTCTTGTAAATTTGTTTGAGTTCTTTGTAGGTTCTGGATATTAGCCCTTTGTCAGATGAGTAGATTGCAAAAATTTTCTCCCATTCTGTAGGTTGCCTGTTCACTCTGATGGTAGTTTCTTTTGCTGTGCAGAAGCTCTTTAGTTTAATTAGATCCCATTTGTCAATTTGGCTTTTGCTGCCGTTGCTTTTGGTGTTTTAGACATGAAGTCTTTGCCCATGCCTATGTCCTGAATGGTACTACCTAGGTTTTCCTCTAGGATTTTTATGGTATTAGGTCTAACATTTAAGTCTCTAATCCATCTTGAATTAATTTTCGTATAAGGAGTAAGGAAAGGATCCAGTTTCAGCTTTCTACTTATGGCTAGCCAATTTCCCAGCACTATTTATTAAATAGGGAATCCTTTCCCCATTTCTTGTTTTTGTCAGGTTTGTCAAAGATCAGATGGCTGTAGATGTGTGGTATTATTTCTGAGGACTCTGTTCTGTTCCATTGGTCTATATCTCTGTTTTGGTACCAGTACCATGCTGTTTTGGTTACTGTAGCCTTGTAGTATAGTTTGAAGTCAGGTAGCGTGATGCCTCCAGCTTTGTTCTTTTGACTTAGGATTGTCTTGGAGATGCGGGCTCTTTTTTGGTTCCATATGAACTTTAAAGCAGTTTTTTCCAATTCTGTGAAGAAACTCATTGGTAGCTTGATGGGGATGGCATTGAATCTATAAATTACCTTGGGCAGTATGGCCATTTTCACTATATTGATTCTTCCTATCCATGAGCATGGTATGTTCTTCCATTTGTTTGTGTCCTCTTTTATTTCACTGAGCAGTGATTTGTAGTTCTCGTTGAAGAGGTCCTTTACATCCCTTGTAAGTTGGATTCCTAGGTATTTTATTCTCTTTGAAGCAATTGTGAATGGAAGTTCATTCATGATTTGGCTCTCTGTTTGTCTGTTACTGGTGTATAAGAATGCTTGTGATTTTTGCACATTAATTTTGTATCCTGAGACTTTGCTGAAGTTGCTTATCAGCTTAAGGAGATTTTGGGCTGAGACAATGGGGTTTTCTAAATATACAATCATGACATCTGCAAACAGGGACAATTTGACTTCTTCTTCTCCTAACTGAATACCCTTGATTTCTTTCTCTTGCCTAATTGCCCTAGCCAGAACTTCCAACACTATGTTGAATAGGAGTGGTGAGAGAGGGCATCCCTGTCTTGTGCCAGTTTGCAAAGGGAATTTTTCCAGTTTGTGCCCATTCAGGATGATATTGGCTGTGGGTTTGTCATAAATAGCTCTTATTATTTTGAGGTACGTTCCATCAATACCGAATTTATTGAGCGTTTTTAGCATGAAGGGCTGTTGAATTTTGTCAAAAGCCTTTTCTGCATCTATTGAGATAATCATGTGGTTCTTGTCTTTGGTTCTGTTTATATGCTGGATTATGTTTATTGATTTGCGAATGTTGAACCAGCCTTGCATCCCAGGGAGGAAGCCCACTTGATCATGGTGGATAAGCTTTTTGATGTGTTGCTGAATCCGGTTTGCCAGTATTTTATTGAGGATTTTTGCATGGATGTTCATCAGGGATATTGGTCTAAAATTCTCTTTTTTTGTTGTGTCTCTGCCAGGCTTTGGTATCAGGATGATGTTGGCCTCATAAAATGAGTTAGGGAGGATTCCCTCTTTTCCTATTGATTGGAATAGTTTCAGAAGGAATGGTACCAACTCCTCCTTGTACCTCTGGTAGAATTCAGCTGTGAATCCATCTGGTCCTGGACTTTTTTTGGTTGGTAGGGTATTAATTATTGCCTCAATTTCAGAGCCTGCTATTGGTCTATTCAGGGATTCAACTTCTTCCTGGTTTAGTCTTGGAAGAGTGTAAGTGTCCAGGAAATTATCCATTTCTTCTAGATTTTCCAGTTTATTTGCGTAGAGGTGTTTATAGTATTCTCTGATGGTACTTTGTATTTCTGTGGGGTTGGTGGTGATATCCCCTTTATCATTTTTAATTGCGTCGATTTGATTCTTCTCTCTTTTCTTCTTTATTAGTCTTGCTAGTGGTCTGTCAATTTTGTTGATCTTTTCAAAAAACCAACTCCTGGATTCATTGATTTTTTGGAGAGTTTTTTTGTGTCTCTATCTCCTTCAGTTCTGCTCTGATCTTAGTTATTTCCTGCCTTCTGCTAGCTTTCGAATGTGTTTGCTCTTGCTTCTCTAGTTCTTTTAATTGCGATGTTAGAGTGTCAATTTTAGATCTTTCCTGCTTTCTCTTGTGGGCATTTAGTGCTATAAATTTCCCTCTGCACACTGCTTTAAATGTGTCCCAGAGATTCTGGTATGTTGTATCTTTGTTCTCATTGGTTTCAAAGAACATCTTTATTTCTGCCTTCATTTCGTTATGTACCCAGTAGTCATTCAGGAGCAGGTTGTTCAGTTTCCATGTAGTTGAGTGGTTTTGATTGAGTTTCTTAGTCCTGAGTTCTAGTTTGATTGCACTGTGGTCTGAGAGACAGTTTGTTATAATTTCTGTTCTTGTACATTTGCTGAGGAGTGCTTTACTTCCAATTACGTGGTCGATTTTGGAGTAAGTACGATGTGGTGCTGAGAAGAATGTATATTCTGTTGATTTGGGGTGGAGAGTTCTATAGATGTCTATTAGGTCTGCTTGCTGCAGAGATGAGTTCAATTCCTGGATATCCTTGTTAACTTTCTGTCTCGTTGATCTGTCTAATGTTGACAGTGGAGTGTTGAAGTCTCCCATTATTATTGTATGGGAGTCTAAGTCTCTTTGTAAGTCTCTAAGGATTTGCTTTATGAATCTGGGTGCTCCTGTATTGGGTGCATATATATTTAGGATAGTTAGCTCTTCCTGTTGAATTGATCCCTTTACCATTATGTAATGGCCTTCTTTGTCTCTTTTGATCTTTGATGGTTTAAAGTCTGTTTTATCAGAGACTAGTATTGCAACCCCTGCTTTTTTTGTTCTCCATTTGCTTGGTAAATCTTCCTCCATCCCTTTATTTTGAGCCTATGTATGTCTCTGCGTGTGAGATGGGTCTCCTGAATACAGCAGACTGATGGGTCTTGACTCTTTATCCAGTTTGCCAGTCTGTGTCTTTTAATTGGAGCATTTAGTCCATTTACATTTAAGGTTAATATTGTTATGTGTGAACTTGATCCTGCCATTATGATATTAACTGGTTATTTTGCTCGTTAGTTGATGCAGTTTCTTCCTAGCCTCGATGGTCTTTACATTTTGGCATGTTTTTGCAATGGCTGGTACCGGTTGTTCCTTTCCATGTTTAGTGCTTCCTTCAGGGTCTCTTGTAAGGCAGGCCTAGTGGTGACAAAATCTCTAAGCATTTGCTTATCTGTAAAGGATTTTATTTCTCCTTCACTTATGAAACTTAGTTTGGCTGGATATGAAATTCTGGGTTTAAAATTCTTCTCTTTAAGAATGTTGAATATTGGCCCCCCACTCTCTTCTGGCTTGGAGAGTTTCTGCCGAGAGATCTGCTGTTAGTCTGATGGGCTTCCCTTTGTGGGTAACCCGACCTTTCTCTCTGGCTGCCCTTAAGATTTTTTCCTTCATTTCAACTTTGGTGAATCTGGCAATTATGTGTCTTGGAGTTGCTCTTCTCGAGGAGTATCTTTGTGGCATTCTCTGTATTTCCTGGATTTGAATGTTGGCCTGCCCTACTAGGTTGGGGAAGTTCTCCTGGATGATATCCTGAAGAGTGTTTTACAACTTGGTTCCATTTTCCCCCTCACTTTCAGGCACCCCAATCAGACGTAGATTTGGTCTTTTTACATAATCCCATACTTCTTGCAGGCTTTGTTCATTTCTTTTTCTTCTTTTTTCTTTCGGTTTCTCTTCTCACTTCATTTCATTCATTTGATCCTCAATCGCAGATACTCTTTCTTCCAGTTGATCGAGTCGGTTACTGAAGCTTGTGCATTTGTCACGTATTTCTCGTGTCATGGTTTTCATCTCTTTCATTTCGTTTATGACCTTCTCTGCATTAATTACTCTAGCCATCAATTCTTCCACTTTTTTTTCAAGATTTTTAGTTTCTTTGCGCTGGGTACGTAATTCCTCCTTTAGCTCTGAGAAGTTTGATGGACTGAAGCCTTCTTCTCTCATCTCGTCAAAGTCTCTCATTCTCCGTCCAGCTTTGATCCGTTGCTGGCGATGAGCTGCGCTCCTTTGCCGGGGGAGATGTACTCTTATTTTTGGAATTTCCAGCTTTTCTGCCCTGCTTTTTCCCCATCTTTGTGGTTTTATCTGCCTCTGGTCTTTGATGATGGTGATGTACTGATGGGGTTTTGGTGTAGGTGTCCTTCCTGTTTGATAGTTTTCCTTCTAGCAGTCAGGACCCTCAGCTGTAGGTCTGTTGGAGATTGCTTGAGGTCCGCTCCAGACCCTGTTTGCCTGGGTATCAGCAGCAGAGGCTGCAGAAGATAGAATATTTCTGAACAGCGAGTGTACCTGTCTGATTCTTGCTTTGGAAGCTTCCTCTCAGGGGTGTACTCCACCCTGTGAGGTGTGGGGTGTCAGACTGCCCCTAGTGGGGGATGTCTCCCAGTTAGGCTACTCAGGGGTCAGGGACCCACTTGAGCAGGGAGTCTGTCCCTTCTCAGATCTCAACCTCCGTGTTGGGAGATTCACTGCTCTCTTCAAAGCTGTCAGACAGAGTCGTTTGCGTCTGCAGAGGTTTCGGCTGCGTTTGTTATTGCCCTGTCCCCAGAGGTGGAGTCTACAGAGACAGGCAGGTTTCCTTGAGCTGCTGTGAGCTCCACCCACTTCGAGCTTCCCAGGATCTTTGTTTACCTACTTAAGCCTCAGCAATGGCGGGCGCCCCTCCCCCAGCCTCGCTGCTGCCTTGCCGGTAGATCACAGACTGCTGTGCTAGCAATGAGGGAGGCTCCGTGGGTGTGGGACCCTCCCGGCCAGGTGTGGGATATGATCTCCTGGTGTGCCTGTTTGCTTAAAGCGCAGTATTGGGGTGGGAGTTACCCAGTTTTCCAGATGTTGTGTGTCTCAGTTCCCCTGGCTAGGAAAAGGGATTCCCTTCCCCCTTGCGCTTCCCAGGTGAGGCGATGCCTCGCCCTGCTTCAGCTCTCGCTGGTCGGGCTGCAGCAGCTGACCAGCACCGATCGTCCGGCACTCCCCAGTGAGATGAACCCAGTACCTCAGTTGAAAATGCAGAAATCACCGGTCTTCTGTGTTGCTCGCGCTGGGAGTTGGAGACTGGAGCTGTTCCTATTCTGCCATCTTGCTCCGCCCGGATTGCATTTTTAAAATAAAAAAAAATTCAAAGTGAATCATAGATTTAAATGGAAAATCTAAAATTATAAAACAATTAAAAAGGATAAATTGAAAAAAAGGTAGTGCCAAATACCAGTTAGGATTTGGAGACATTGGAAACATACATTTCTGGTAAAAATGCAAAATGGTACAGCAACTTCAGAAAATAATTGGGAAATTCTCAGAAAGCTAAACATATAATTATTCTTTGACCCAGAAACCTTACTCCTAGGTAGTATTCCAACTAAAATAAACACTTATGTTAACACAAATACCAGTATGCAAATGTTTAAAGTGGCTTTATTCAGAATCAACAAAAACTGGAAACCACTCAGTCACACCTCAGCTGCTGAGTGGATAAGCTGTCATACATCCACACAATGGAATTCAGCAATGGAATCAATAAACTACTGAAACAAGCCACAACATGGATGAATCTTGAAGTGATTAATGTAAGTGAAGTATGTCAGATTCAAAAGACCACATATTATATAATTCAGTTTTGAAATATGCAAAACCATAAGTATAGAGATAAGATTAGTGGTTGCCAGGGGAAAGTTGACTTTCAAGCAGCATGGGGGATTTTTTTGTTGATAAACTATTATTTATCTTCATTTTTTGATGATCACATGACTGTATGCATTTGTCCAAACTCAAAGAACTAAGTCCTAAAGAGGAAGAATTTTTATCTGTAGATTTTAACTTAATGAAAAACTAAAAATTTACTATCAAGTAATATGGGACATAAATTACTTATAGCAGCAGTCCCCAAACTTTTTGGCACCAGGGACTGGTTTCATGGAAGACAATTTTTCCATTCAGGGGTGGGGGATGGTTTCAGGATGATTCCAGCATATTACATTTATTGTGTACTTTATTTCTATTATCATTACATTGTAATATATAATTAAATAATTACACAACTCACCATAATGTGGAATTAGTGGAAGCCCTAAGCTTATTTTCCTGCAACTAGATGGTCCAATCTGAGGGTGATAAGAGATGCTAACAGAACATCAGGCATTAGATTCTCATAAGGGGTATGTAACCTAGATCCCTCACATATGCAGTTCACAATAGGGTTCACATTCCTATGAGAATCTAATGCGGCCACTGATGTGACAGGAGGCAGAGCTCAGGTGGTAATGTAAGCAATGGGGAGTGGCTGTAAACACAGATGAAGCTTTGCTCGCTTGCCCCTGACTCACCTCCTTCTGTACAGCCCTGTTCCTAACAGGCCCTTACAAGTCCAGGGTTGGGGACCCCTGCCTTAGAGTATTACTGGATAATGGCTTGATCTTGGAGAAAGAAAACTTGGGTGAGATACCAGTTCTATTAATTCTGAGTAATATCAACTTGGGCAAATTACTTACCTTACTGTGCCTTAATTTTGTTGCTTCTCAATCAATGGGAATAGTAATTATACCTATATCATAGGGTGGGAGAAACAAAGCAGGTAATGCATGAAAACTACTTGAGGCAGCATCTAGCAAGTAGTACATATCATACTAACGTGTAGAAATAGCAGCATGCCAGCATATGTTCAGTACAGATTCTTACTCACTGTGATTGTCTCTTGCCTTATTTCGACTGATTCATGTTTAGTTTAAATACCTAACATTTGTCAAGAACCAGAGGGAGTCAAGTACACAGCTCTTGCAGAGTTTATGATCTCACTGAAAAGATGAGTTAGACATGTGAAAATATTTAATTAACCAAGACCTCATCTGGTTGCAACGTATGCTGCCATGATATTACACAGAGGCACTGCATGCAGTCTTAGGGTACAGAAATGCAGGGGACCAAGGTCTGTGGAGGCATCTGTTCTCAAGGTTATCACAACCTAGTTGTAGAGATAAATATGAACACAGATCTCAAATCACTAACATATTTAAAAATGAAAGTGCAATAAGTTAAGTAAAATTTATCCCATTTCAGCAGGTGTCAGATACAAAAGAAGTTCCTCTTCAAAGGTTTAGCTTGTTCAGCATCCTTGCTCTTTGTTTCCTGCTTCAAAGGCCAAACTATCCTTATCCTTTATGCCTCCCTGTCTCGGTTTCAGTAAACCGAGTAAACCTTCCCACCAGTCCTTATCTACAGAGCCCACATCTGCTACTCATTCTGTAAATTACCCCTCCTGACACAATGGCCCTTCCCACTGAAACTGGCCTTTCTGCCAGTGTAACCACACTCCTGCCCCCTTCAAGTTAGCCACTCAGGTTCAGCTTAGATTGTGAAGTCCAACTTCAGTCAATGCAGACTGGACACAGTAGCAGGGACAAGCTGCCTTAGGAATAAAAACCTTTCCCCATCTTTGTTCAGTGTGCTCTCATGGTGACCAGACTCACGAGCAGCATCCTTCTGCAGAAGCAAATTTGCCTTGCTGAGAAAACTCTTCGCCAGAGTGCTGATTCCTCTTTGGGGAACCAAGCATTTATTTCTAACAGCAGGTGTAGCTAAAAGAAAAATTAAGTACAATGTAAGCCCAAATTGTTTATTTAGAAGGATTTTGAGGGGATGGACAGAGATAAGCAAAAAAGGCATTTCTTTAAAAGAGAGTATATATATTTAAGTGTCAAAAGGTAATTGTGGTCAAAGACAACTTAATATGTTGGAGAAATTCTTCTAGACCAGTTGAATCTTGAATTAAGAGAAATAGACATTTATGGATAATTTAGAAGTTAATGAGGACAAAATTGTAAACAATATGTAGTAGAAGGGAGTTTATTAATCCAAAAGAACACTAGGAAATACAGTATTGCTATGTCTATGCTATCATTTGGGTGAAAGCTATTTTACCCACATTCTTTTTTTTTTTTTCTTCATTGTTTAGAAAACAAAAGGGTTTGAAAGAAATTTGAGAAGACACTCTGTCCTCCCTCCTTCCTCTAAGAGTGTGGAGGCATCTGTTTTAAAACAGTGCCAGGGTCCTTGTGTTGATTAGCACCAAGTCTTATTCAGTAGGTTCTCATATACTTTCCTGCAAGCAATTCATTATTTCTTCCCATTCACGCAGCTTCCTCTGGCTCACCAAGCAGAGGTCAGACATGAGTGGCTTTCACACTGTCTGATATTTGGGTCACCTCCCACACTGTCTCAGAGCAGCATCGTCCAGTGGCCAGAACACCGATTGGAATCTGGATCATTCCAAACAGTGTCCTTAGTCCACAGTTCGGAGAATTCTAACACCAAACACACTGGCTCTGTGTGTTGGGGTGTGGGAACACACTGCTATGGCAGATTCTATGTAAATATTTGACAACAAATCATGCATGGACGTATATGTGAGAAGAGCAGTCAATTGTCTACTGAGAGGAAAAACAGTATTTGGCTTATACAGCAGCTAAAGAAACGTGTCTGTGATTACAAAAACATTTGTTCTCTCAGAGGAACAGGTTGTTTTTATTGTTCTTATGATTATTTTAGTTTTTGATTTCACTCTCCACCCCCACTTAGCACCCACAATGAAAGTATAGAAAATTGGGTAAACAATTTCACCTCACTTGGCCTCTTGAATGTAACTGAAGAATAGGTTGGACTGTGGTTGTGTTTCTTCCTAGCTACAGATTGTCCAAGTCCAAAGACTTGAGGGCCAGGAGTTCACCCAGAGAGCAGGTGAAAGAGCCCAGCTCATAGTAGCTGCTCAGCACATGTTCACTTCTTTTTCCCAAGGTGGCCCCTCAAATTCCAGTCCAGCCTTACAAATGGATGATCCTGCAAAGGAATAATTAGAGGGAGGAGGAAAACATTGACAAGAAACATAACTAACTCCAAAAAACAAAGAGTTAAAATATGAAAGGGTCACTACACCCACCCCCCAATACCAAGTTGGTTTAGAAAGAGAAGCAAAGAAAAAATACAGAAGTTCATTGTACTAAAGCTAGGAAAATAAATGTGAACTAGAAAATCAGCCTCTGGGGTCCCCGATGACTAGAGCAAACATGACTGTTCACATCTCCTTTTGCACCCCTGTTATCTGAACCCTGGAACAGTCACTGTGCCTTTGACCAAAACGGTCCCCCATGCTGGGAAGCCTAAAGCCCAGAATTCATGATTGCACAAAAGTATCAGATGTTGTAACCTTGGCTTATTGTTTATGCACATAATTAGATATACCTATTTCTGTTTTGAACACTGCTGATGTGTTTTCAGTTAAATGGCCCAACAAGCACATTATAAGTAAAGAGAAATAAAAACTCGAATTTTCCACAGATTCTAGCAATATACTATTATGCATTAACTTCCTCTGAGGTGCACTTTATGCAAATGAAAACACCACAGCCCTAACTGCTGCTGGGTTTACCAAAACATAAGTTAAAATCTCAGAACAAAGTTATTTACTTAGCACAGAGCCAAATGACCAGTCTGAAGTTTTTAGGGAGATAACCTTTAACCTAACTCCTGGGGGAAAAACAAAACAATGCAATAAGATTTAAGTCTTTTATGAAAACAAAAGTAACTCTTGCTGTAAAAGATCCATCCCAGCTTGCAGTGAGCTGAGATTGCACCCCTGCACTCCAGCCTGGGTGACAGGATGAGCCTCTGACTCAAAAAAAAAAAAAAAAAAAAAAATTCCACCCCTCCGCCTCTTTTAAGGAACAACCAAAACCCCCAAAACACAAAACCTCAAGTTATCTCTGAAAACACAATTAAAAGCACGAAATTCCAACTCAACTACAAAAGAAAAAAAATAAATTATTGATTCTGCCATGCTGTTAATCTATCCTAAATGCTGACTGCTATCAACTGACAGTGTTATAAACGGAGAATAAGTCAGAAAACAAAGCAAACAATGAAAATTGCCCATGAAATAGGGGTTTTAAATTCTCAAAGGGCTCATATTTTCCACAAATAATTAAAGGGGGAGATTGTGGGAAGATGAATTGTATTGAAAAGAAAGTACACCTCTAAATAAGAAAATATTTTTTTTAATTGAGTTGGTTGCTCATCTCTAAACCTACAGATTGTCACTATGTGTGTCTGTGGCATGTGTACTTTTATGGCTTTTGGGTTCAAGAAAACAATGACTTTGCACCAATAAAAAATACATAACATTTATATATATATATAACTATATGTGCTATATATACCATACGTAATAAATATAATCTAACACATTGGTGGAGAAAAAACATGATTTTATTTCTATAGGGATGAGAGAAATCTGAAAAAGAGAAAATCTATTTGTGTGAATGCATTAAATTATAGAGCAAACTTAAATGGTAAAATAATATGACATTGAATCATTTAAAAAAGTTATTAGAAGAGTGTCAATGCAGGAATGCACTATTAATAAATTTGTTTATTTGGATCTCAGCTATGTTCGTTTATTATCAAATGCTACTGCTTTTCTGAAAAAAAAAAATTGAATATTTTTTCTTGCTCTGTTGCCCAGGCTGAGATGCCATGGAACAATCCTGGCTCACTGCAACCTCCGCCTCCTGGTTCAAGCAATTTTCCTGTCTCAGCCTCCTGAGTAGCTGGGATTACAGGTGCGCACCACCACGCTCAGCTAATGTTTGTATTTTTAGTAGAGATCGTGTTTAGTCATGTTGGTCAGGCTGGTCTTGAACTCCTGACCTCAGGTGATCCACCCACCTTGGCTTCCCAAAGTCCTGAGATTACAGGTGTGAACCACCATGTCCAGCTGGAAATTTTTTAAATAATTTTTTATAGTCAGCATAAAAGTGTGTATGTGTTTGTGCGTGTACATATATAGGAATAACAAACCTATTTTAAAGTCAAGTTCTTATCAGAGTCTCTCATGGAAAGAAACCATCACTCTGTCAGCCAAGAGAGAGGCCAGAGAAAAGAGGAGCTGCCGGGGAGAGGACTGGCCATAACCCAAGGCTCCTGCACCATCATTAGGATGAGGAATTCTGGGCTTTCATAGTGAATATGGGAGCTGTATGAAGAAGAAGAGCAGGGCATTGGTTTTGTTTGGCTTTGACATGTGCCATGTGGCCTCCCACAACCATCCCTTCTAACATGGAGGGGAAACAGGAACAGGCTGTGGATGTGGGCACACAGCCAGGAGAAAGGCAGTGCCGCCTCTGCCCACCCAGGTGGGACACTTGCCAGGTGATATTTTTCAATGCCTGAGGATGTGAACACAAATGACAAACTCCTTTCAATGCGCCGTGGTTCTGATCCAAAATTGCTATGCTTTTTCAGTTGTCAGGGGAGTAAACATGCACTGCTTTGCACACAATGGTTTTACTCCTTTGATTTCTTCGTTTCTCCTTTTAAAAAAGTGCTAATAATCCCAGTATTTTCTCACCAGTATTCTATTACCCTGTTGCAGCCAAATTTTATGGTTGCAGAAAGCATTAGAAAACTAGGCCAAGAAACACTCTGAATTTGATTTAATATGAAATTGTACATTGCATTTCCAACTATTTCCATCATAGTAATTGACTTATTTCTGCTTTTATGCTGCACATAAAAGGTTTCCATTTTTTCAAAAAAGCAGGAGTATTTGATAATAAATTGATAATAAGTGAACATAGCTCAGATCCAAAACACAAAATCATTAGTAGCGCATTTCTGCATTAGCACCCTTTTAATAACATTTTTAAAACATTCAATGTTATATTATTTTACCCTTTAAATTTGCTCTAGTATTTAATGCATTCACACAAATGGATTGACTCTATTTTAGATTTTTCTCATCCTCTAAAAATAAAACTATGTTTTATCTCCACCAATATATTATATTTAGTATAGTGATATATAATATATAAAATTATATAACATGAATTATATAAATATCACAAACAAAAATTGCTGTTAAATATTTTTACTTAGATGACTATTTCAAAATAAGCCATTGCCAGATATCCTTTGTTTTCTCTTCACTCTGTTATTATTAAAATGAAATCTATTGATCGGCCACTCTCTCTATACGTATATTTAAACCACCTTGTTTACAAAATCTTTTTGGAAACTGTGCTCACCACATGACAAAACACTTATTCAGATTTTAGATGGTAACAGATCATAATGAAATCTATAGACCGCTAGCAAGACAAATAAAGAAGAAAAGAGAGAAGAATCAAATAGATGCAATAAAAAATGATAAAGGGGATATCACCACCCATGCCACAGAAATACAAACTACCAGCAGAGAATACTATAAACACCTCTATGCAAATAAACTAGAAAACCTGGAAGAAATGGATAAACTTCTGGACACCTACACTCTCCCAAGACTAAACCAGGAAGAAGTTGAATCCCTGAATAGACAAATAGCAGGTTCTGAAATTGAGGCAATAATTAATAGCCTATCAACCAAAAAAAGTCCAGGACCAGATGGATTCACGGTCAAATTCTACCAGAGGTGCAAGGAGGAACTGGTACCATTCCTTCTGAAACTATTCCAATCAACAGAAAAGAAGGAATCCTCCCTAACTCATTTTATGAGGCCAACATCATCCTGATACCAAAGCCTGGCAGAGACACAACAAAAAAAGAGAATTTTAGACCAATATCTCTGATGAACATCGATGCAAAAATTCTCAATAAAATACTGGCAAACCGAATCCAGCAGGACATCAAAAAGCTTATCCACCATGATCAAGTGGACTTCATCCTTGAGATGCAAGGCTGGTTCAACATACACAAATCAATAAATGTAACCCAGCATATAAACAGAACCAAAGACAAAAACCACATGATTATCTCAATAGATGCAGGAAAGGCCTTTGACAAAATTCCACAGCCCTTCATGCTAACAACTCTCAATAAATTTGGTAGTGATGGAACGTATCTCAAAATAATAAGAGCTATTTATGACAAACCCACAGCCAATATCATACTGAATGGGCTAAAACTGGAAGCATTCCCTTTGAAAACAGGTACAAGACAGGGATGCCCTCTCTCACCACTCCTATTCAATATAGTGGTGGGAGTTCTGGCTAGGGCAATCAGGCAAGAGAAAGAAATAAAGGGTATTCAATTAGGAAAAGAAGTCAAATTGTCCTTGTTTACAGATGACATGATTGTCTATTTAGAAAACCCCATCATCTCAGCCCAAAATCTCCTTAAGCTGATAAGCAACTTCAGCAAAGTCTCAGGATACAAAATCAATGTGCAAAAATCACAAGCATTCTTATACACAAAAAACAGACAAACAGAGAGCCAAATCATGACTGAACTCCCATTCACAATTGTTTCAAAGAGAATAAAATACCTAGGAATCCACCTTACAAGGGATATAAAGGACCTCTTCAAGGAGAACTACAAACCACTGCTCAGTGAAATAAAAGAGGATACAAACAAATGGAAGAGCATACCATGCTCATGGATAGGAAGAATCAATATAGTGAAAATGGCCATACTGCCCAAGGTAATTTATAGATTCAATGCCATCCCCATTAAGCTACCAATGAGTTTCTTCACAGAATTGGAAAAAACTGATTTAAAGTTCATATGGAACCAAAAAAGACCCCGCATTGCCAAGACAATTCTAAGCCAAAAGTACAAAACTGGAGAAATCACGCTACCTGACTTCAAACTATACTACAAGGCTACAGTAACCAGAACAGCATGGTACTGGTACCAAAACAGAGATATAGACCAATGGAACAGAACAGAGTCCTCAGAAATAATACCACACATCTATAACCATCTGATCTTTGACAAACCTGACAAAAGCAAGAAATGGGGAAAGGATTCCCTACTTAATAAATGGTGCTGGGAAAATTGGCTAGCCA